CTAAAAGGGTGCCTGATGTGGGTCAGATTTGGGGCCCAAATATCTCTGTGGTTCAGGTGCCCAGGTTTGTCCCAAGACCCTAGCACATGGGTAGGCAACCTAAGGCCCGTGGGCCGGATGCAGCCCAATTGCCTTCTCAATCCGGCCCATGGACGGTCCAGGAATCAGCATGTTTTTACATGAGTATAATGTGTCCTTTTATTTAAAATGCATCTCTGGGTTATTTGTGGGGCATAGGAATTTGTTCATTTATTTTTTTCAAAATACAGTCTGGCCCACCACATGATCTGAGGGACGGTGGACCGGCCCACGGCTGAAAAAGGGGTGCCCAAACGTTTCTGAGAACAATTTAAAGTGTTGGTGCTGACCTTTAAAGCCCTAAACAGCCTTGGTCCTGTATACCTGAAGGACTGTCTCCACCCCCATTGTTCAGCCTAGACACTGAGGTCCAATGCCTAGGGCCTTCTGGCGGTTCCCTCAATGCAAGAAGTGAGGTTACAGGGAACCAGGCAGAGGACCCCTGCCCTGGCAGATGGAGACAAAGGGTTTATAGGAAGTGGGAAGGAAAAGTAAACAAGTTCAAGGCTCTTGCTATCGGGAAAGAGGCAGGACGGATCCTGACCAATCATTTAAAGAGTCAAAGGGCATCAAAGCATCTCATAAAATTAGAGGACAACTAGACTCATCCAATAAATGAGCAACTGTAACTATTAATAAATAATGTCCCAACCCTTAATCAATTACCGGTCACTGGGCCCAGAGAATTGCTTGGCTAATTGGGTCAATGATGTGAAGTAAGTCAGTGGTTTCTCAATACCTCTTTTTCCCACGGACTTCTTGAAAATTGCGGAGGGTCTTTGTGGACCACTTAATGATTTCTCTGCCTCTGGTAGCGATTGTAACGTGCTATGTTAGCTGCTGCACGATCTTTAATTGCGTTTTGATGGCTTCTTTCATTTCTTATATATTTTGTAAGTGCCAGGCAATATATAAGAAACAAACAATCAAAAGGCAATCAAAAATCAATGAGAGTATTTAATGCAATGGATGTGCCATCTGCCGTGTTCAGTCGCAAATCCAAAAGACCACCTGAACGAAGCTTGAGGCCACAGTTTGGGAACCCCTGAGGTAGGTTATGATGTCTGATAATGGCTGCTGTTTGGGTAGCAGCTTCTGCCTCGTCTTCTCGGCTGGTCGGAGCTCACTTTACTTTCTGCTGCCTACGCTTAACTGGTTTGTTCCCTTCTCTCCTTTTCCTTCTTTGCCAGATCACTTCCTCTCCAGTTTTTCACTGCTTCGTCTCTTCTCCTCTTCCAAGCACTGCACCAACTTTCTCTCCCTAATTGACTCTCACTCTTAACCCCATTTAACACCCGCCCCAACTGCAGAGATCGCAACCCTAGATGCTAGGATAAGGTCTTACCATGACATTACCATGTTCTTCCTTCATTTTGCCAGTGATGAAAGACATACTGCATGACCATGTCTCCTCAGAATCCGATGGGGCTTACTCCTAGGTAAGTGTGTACAGTGGTACCTCGGTTTAAGAACAGTCCGGTTTAAGAATGATCCAGTATAAGAATGATTCGGTTTACAAACTCCGCAAAACCAGAAATAGTGTCCTGGTTTGAGAACTTTACCTTGGTCTAAGAACAGAAGCCGAATGGTGGAAGGGCACTGGTGGTGGGAGGCCTCATTAGGGAAAGCGCGCCTCAGTTTAAGAATGGTTTTGGTTTAAGAACGGACTTTCAGAACGAATTAAGTTCATAAACCAAGGTACCACTGTACAAGAGTGCAGTTTTAAGGTAGATGTGTAGGGTAAGTCTATACAGGGTGAATTGTAGTATTATTATTATTATTATTATTATTATTATTATTATTATTATTACCACCACCACCACCACCACCACCACCACCGTATTTTTCTGTGTATAAGATGACCTAATGTATAAGGCGATCCCTATTTTTTTGAACCCAAAATTAAGAAATCAGTATTTCTTGAGTTGTTGAGCTTTTGGGGGACCCCAAAATTTTGCTTGATTTTTTTTAGCAAAAAACATAATCCTATACACAGGAAAATACGGTGTTATTATTATTAATATTTATATGCTTCTTTCTCCCCCACCCCATGGCAGTTGCTCAAAGTGGCTTACAAATATAAAACCAAGAACAAAAGCGACAGGGGTCCATCTATCAAAACACAAATTAGCAAACTAAACACAGCAGCAAAATACAACAGGAAAACCCCCACAAACTACGTATCTGCAAGAGCTTAAGATTTATCTAGTAAACAAAACCCCACAGTATATGCAAACAGCGGCTCTCCCACAAACCCATCCCCCCATCACTTTCACTTTTTAGTGGGTTTATATGTGCCAGAGTTCTAGGTCCAATTCCATGGTCTGACCTGCCTATCTTGCATTGCCTTGGGCACAATTCTTAGCCACCCGATATGGTGGTTCTCTGTTTGCCCTTGGAACAAGGATGATAAAAGGATGACGTCCTTCTAGCTTTGCAGTCTGATTAAAATGCATGTGTATTGGGGAAGAAGTCACACAGAGATCCAGGGGACTCACTAGGTCAGGCAAGCTGGAGGTTTGTTGTTGCTGCTTAGTCGTGTCCGACTCTTCGTGACCCCATGGACCAGAGCATGCCAGGCACTCCTGTCTTCCACTGCCTCCCGCAGCTTGGTCAAACTCATGTTGGTAGCAGTGAGAACACTGTCCAACCATCTCGTCCTCTGTCGTCCCCTTCTCCTTGTGCCCTCCATCTTTCCCAACATCAGGGTCTTTTCCAGGGAGTCTTCTCTTCTCATGAGGTGGTCAAAGTATTGGAGCCTCAGCTTCACAATCTGTCCTTCCAGTGAGCACTCAGGGCTGATTTCCTTCAGAATGGAGAGGTTGGATCTTCTTGCAGTCCATGGGACTCTCAAGAGTCTCCTCCAGCTCCATAATTCAAAAGCATCAATTCTTTGGCGATCAGCCTTCTTCATGGTCCAGCTCTCACTTCCATACATCACTACTGGGGAAAAGCTGGAGGTACCGTATATTAAAACATTCAAGGCTGAATTCCTAAGCTCGGCCCTCGCAGGAAAGATATGCAAGACCATTAAACTACAGAATTCAGCCACAAGAGGGCATCCCTTTATTTTCAGACTGCTTTGACTGGACTTGCCTATTTTTCCGTAATTTAAAAGTAAGTTGTGCTTCCCTGGGTGAGATTCACGTGTTCTTAATTGCCCACCCAACATGAGGCAGGCACAGAGCATGCATGACCTATTATAAGATTCTGCCTGGAAATTGCCAGATTTCTTAACTTTTGTCAATACACCATTTGGGGGCACGAAGCATTTCACAAATTATCTCAGGAATTCTCACATAGGTAAGGCTCTGAGGCTGAAAGAAAGGTTCACTCAAAGTCATCAAGGGAGTGCATGGCTAAGATTACATGAACCAGAGATCTGACAGCTCACATGCTAAGCTCACTGCAACTCCCCTCAGAAAAGTATCACTTTTCAGAAAGGGGACACAATATGAATTTGCAAACGGTCTGCTGGGTTCTTTAGACGTCACTGCCATTTTATCTTTCAAGTTCACAAAAGATAATCATGTATATGTGGAAAAGAACATTCCACACAAGTGGGGTTTTGTTGTGTTTTTCAGAGAAGGGGGGAACTTTAGTAATAAATATGTGCTCTGGGTTTTTTTAGGTTGGCATACTTGGAATTAAACACATGCACAGGGTCCTAATTCTTTGTTCAGGTCCACCACTGGAGTTTTTGCAGTGGGAGTCTGAGCAATTGTCTTTTGCAGAGCAGGATTCAAAGTCCCGATTCTGACGAGGGCCCATTGCATCTTGTGAGGCGGCTCAGCCTCTGTGAAATGGGTTCAATGGGGATCTGCCAGGATGTGATGAGCATTGCAAAATATTGTTTGTGAAGGTATCAAAAGTTTCCCTATAAGGTTGGGAATACAAGCCAGTAGTTTAAAAAAACTAAGTTTTCTATGGACATGTTTTGTATTGGACAAATATTTATTAGTACCCAATGTTTTCCTAAGGAGCATTATATACTACTGTGGGTCTCTGATCCAAATTTTGGCCTAATCACTACAGCAATACCTCCACGAACATCCGCCTCATCTAGCGTCCATTCCGGCGAACATCTGCGGCAAACCCGGAAGTACTGGAACAGGTTACTTCTGGGTTTGTTGCTTCACGCATAAGCGCAAACCGCTCCGCGTGCATGTGCAGACGCGGCGCTTTGCCCTGCGTCCTTTTCGGCTAGCGGCCGGGGCTCTGTACCTGAAACATTACAACCAATTCAGGACTTCCTTCAAATCGGCTTCCCAAGAATTGCTGGGAGCAGCTGAAGTTGTGCATCAGCAGAACAGCAGGGCATAATCGCAAAAAGCAAATATTGGTGTTAGATTGAATCCCACAAAGTGCAAAGGAGTCGGCCTTTGCTTTGGCCCATACCAATGTGCATATTCTCAACAAGATCTAGGGACAATTCAGAACTCATTATTCTCCCTGTTTGTACTTTCTAAGAGACAGTCCTTTTCACAAGGCATTCTTGCTGCTGAGATATCAAACTATACTGGTAGAACAGCATCTGTTTACCTCTGGCGCCTGTAGGGTAAAAATGCTGTCACTAGTTATTTTATTGTTCTTTATATTCCAAAGCCTAATAGAAGTATTTGCAATGCTGCGTACTGCCTACCCAACACGAATTTGTTACAGTCAGGCTTGCGGTTGTTCAAAGGTTGCAGCAAACATTTGCTGAGTTTATTTTAGAGTGAGATGTTAAGATGTTACTATACCTGGTTTTTTTTATTGATTATAGTCCAGCTCTTATAAAACCAGGAGAAACAATGTGTATCATTTTGTGGATGCTAGCGGTTTAAAAACACACACACACACACACACACACACACACACACACACAGAGAGAGAGAGAGAGAGAGAGAGAGAGAGAGAGAGAGAGAGACTGAGACTGCTGATAACATGGTTTTTCTCTTCTTTTATTTATAGTATAATTGTTGTAATGACATACTGGTTTAAACAATAAATACTGGCGAGAAACATACTAAGTAGAGAGTTCCAATGTGTGGGTCATGAGATGCATAGCATTAATGGCCGGATCTTTAACCAGCAGAAGACCAACTTTTTCTTCATCTTTTTACAATCTACAGTAACTGGAGACTTAAATTCAGAGGGCCTTTTCAGGGCAGCTTTTCATCCAATAGCAGAAAGGCCTACGATTCTGTTGCCCCCCCCCTTTTTTAAATAAAAAAAAAAACAAGAGGCCATGGGAAACCGAAATTCGGAGCTGGGGAAACACACACACATGCAAAACACTAAATGGATCCCCTACTTTACATTTCCGAAAAGTAGTTTTACACCGTGGGTGGAACTCAACACCCCACAATGGCCAATGTCTCATCAGCACAAACACTAACCTTGCCAGATGGAATTATCTGGGGCCCCCAATTTTTTGTGGGGAGGCCCTCTCCTGAACCGCCCCCCCCGTCAATACTGGAAGATGCCAGGGGAGGGGAAAGTCCTGTTGCACAAGCTCACGCCCTCGTGCAGGGCTTGTGCTGATGTTGCTCCTTCGGTGAACCCCATCCTATATTTTAAAGTGTGCATCATATAAGAGAGATTGCTTGTGCGTACGGGGAGGGGAGGGAAAACAACGCATGCATTCTCTAGCTGAAGCTTTTACAAATGGTCTGGGGAGAGGCAGGATTAGCTGCCCTGCGATTTCTCTGACAAATAACAATTTGTGCTTTTTTTTTTTACTGGTTTCCAGCAACTGTCCGAATGCTTATATACAAGACCAGGCAAGTTTACCTTCTCTCTCCCACCCACCCACCCGCATCCTGCTTTTATTTTCACTTATTTACAAAGCACTTTTACATAGAAGAACGGCAGATCAAACTGGGGGCCAGGCAGGCGATGAAGTTAAGCAGTGGGCAGCATGGAGATCATCATTGGAACATGAGTTTTCCTTGTTAGGTGGACGGGTCCTTTATTGGACGCTTGCTATGAAGGGCCGGTACCCATCACCACAACAGCTGCATCCCTCGAATACACAATAGAAACATCCTGCCTCCTAGCATGGGTGGTGGATGTTCAAGGGGATCATAGCAGACAGCAGAGCTTTGTGGAGGTACTAAGCCTCTGTCTCCCCAACCAAACACCCATGTTTTGGCGTAAGACAAAGGCACAACAAGTCCTCTCGCTGGATTACAAAACACCTCCCCTTTCCCAAGCCAGCCCCTTGCAAAATAATGTTAAGTTTCCCCAGGAGACACACTATTTCCTTTCTGAAACCCGGCCCTTCCCTCCCGATTCATCCAGAATCTCTGTCCCAGCTTTGATGGGGACGCAAGTGAGCCCTACTCTCCGAATTCCGTTTCTTGAGAGCCATTGGATTAGACTTTCTTTGTACGGCAGGCAGGCTATGGTGCAGAGGAAAACTGTCCCACAATTTGGTGTCTCTAGGAGAGGGAGATGGGCTACGGCACTTAAGAGTGATGGGCAGGTTCCCCTCGCTCCCTTGCTGCCAACCCTTTCCTTTTCTCCCTCTGGGTGAATTCAAGGATGCAACTAATATGGGAGGAAGCCAAGGGTTGCACCTCACAAACACCCCTAATAAGCCAGGGCTAACCTTCCAGTACCCCCTACCCCTTTTGCATCCAGGATAGTTGGGCCACAATCTCCAGAGGAGTCACTTAGTTACTAAAGCACCTTCTTTCTGCGTGTTCCCTTCCCCCAGGGTTCAATTCCTTGGTGCAACAGTGGTTGGGAAGACACTCAAAGCCACTGGCAGCGATATGGCTTGGAGGCGTCTCTCTCCAGTCCCAAAGGCAGGAAACAGCCATCGCTATGGCTCCATAGATTGCAGCTGGGTACACAGTCGAGAGAGCACCAGGGTTTGCCCCTGGAGGACCTGGAAGGCAGAGGGGAAGATAGGACCCAGGGGGAATCCTGCCATTCCTCCTGGCTTTGCGGGGTTGGCAAGGATGCCAGCTTAAAGGCACTACCCGCTGGAGACATTTCACTCTGCTTCCTGTGAAGCTCTCTGCTGGTGGCTTTAAGGGGCCCAGGAAGGAAGGAAGGAAGGCAGGGCCCCAAAAGAGTTTCAAGGGGAATTCAGGCTGTTTATGTTTTCCGTCAACCCAGGCCAAAACTCAGGATGGCAGGATCTCAATATTACTGCTGTGTTGCTAATAACATAATTGATGCAATTAGTAGCAAATTAGCTCTACGCTTGGCAGCATTAGAGAACATGCCAAATACAGAGGAGGGAAAGAAAGAGAAAAAGAGAGAGAGATGGATGGATGAAGCTCAGAAAGGCACCTCTGTTCCCTGTGTATAGCAAACCAGAGCTCTTTAGAAAGCAGTGGGGGTGGCGATGATGGCTTGGCCCCATGGCTTGTTAAAAAACCCAAAAACACTCAGAGAGAAAGTCCAACAAGCTGTTAAAGCCACATGGCCACTTTGCGCAGAATATGGCTGCTTCAAATGCAGAAACAGCTTGCTGGGATACAGCCCTCAAACAGAGGCGTACGCAGTTTCCGTTTCTAGTCCCCATGGCGGTGAAGGAAAGCCACTGAGTGGATTCTGGCGACAGAGGAGTCTAGTTACAAATGGCTTTAAATGCATCTTTAAGTCCCAGGCAAGGGATTCTGTGCCCCTCCTTTTAAGGAGAGGCTCAGGCCATCAGGGGTGCGAAGGGGAATAAGGGCTTTGAATAACCCTTCTTATCTCCTGTCCTCTTCCCCTGCTGAAAGATCACCCTTGCCCTAAATGGGCAGCTGGGGCTTTTTGAATTCAGCTGCATAAGAGTGCACAGACTCATCAGCTGGGGAACCAGGGGCCTTTCAGATGTCGCAACTCCAGCTCCCATCAGCCCCAGCCATTGCTGTCCATAGCAAAGGCTGATGGGAAGTGTAGTCCAGTAGCATCTGGGAGACTTCTAGACTTCTGCCTAGAATAATGGCATGCATCAAGATTCCCACGCCATCTACGGCTCTTACGAAAAGGTAGAGAGGCAAGATCAGAGAGATGGGGACGGAGTTGTATGCATCCCATCCTCCTGGCTAACAGTGATAGACACTTGATCTAGGGAGATGGCTTCAAGGGATGTATTTGAAACAAAGGAATTTCGGGTTCATATAGCAAAATCCGGAAGGAAGGAAGGAAAGGACTGGCAGCGCGGAATTGTATGCAGCAATGGTGTGCCGAAAGAAGGGGAGCAGCCACTGGGTAGACCCCGCTAAAAAGGCTGAAGAATTCAAGGTCCCCAAATTATTTCCCAAAGAGAGCAATGGAACAAGGGAACCAGATCAGAGCACCGGGTGGAAAGAGGAGTCTTATGAAATGCAAACTCGCTGTGCCCAACAGTGAGGCTCTAAACACAACAGTTACACTCGCCAAACTATTCAACGCTGTTTTATAGGAGAGCTAATCACGTAAACAGCGTGCCAAGCAATGCTCTGTAGCCTTCCGAGTCCCCTTCCATAAAGCCAGACTCTGCATAGACTCTGTCCTACGAGGAACATTCTAGTGGCTTCGTCAGAATCGGAGGCCGCACACTCGCATTTCTGGTAACTGAAGCACCATAATGGAGAAATAACCCCCTATCCGATTTTCTCCTGAAAGTAACGCATCCCAGGAAGAACAACACGCACCACCATTTAATAATATTTAAAAAACAAAACAACCCTGTAAATGCTGGACTTCACACTCGGGGTCCCGAATTCAAATCCCATCAGGAGGTGGCCGTTGGCAGGGAACAGCTCCTCAAAAGTTTAAGCCTCTCTGCTGCAGACACTACGATAAACCAAGAATATGCGCCAGGCCCCACTATGCCCAAGATACCTGCAAAGTTTCCTCCATTTCCCCTCAACCACAGCATAATGTGCTTCAACTATAGAGACAGGGGCGCTAAGTTTTTACCCCTTCCCTCACCCCTGACCACTGGCCATACTGGTTGAGACCAATGGGAATCAGAGTCCAACTTCTAGAGGGCCCCACAGACTTCCCACCCCTGAGAAAAAGGTCATTCCCAGAGTCTGTGCTGACCCAGCAATGCCTTTGCGTTTCTGGGTGGTTATGGCAAGAGACTACGGTTTGCGTCCCCTTCAGTTCCTAGCCTACTTCAAGTTCTGTGCCCAAGTGCTTCCTGCTTGGTCCTGTCGACAAGTAAGCAGAGCAAAAGGCACCAGAGGAGAGTCACAGCTATGCTGTTTGTGCTCAGTCTAGAGGATGGAGGAGGGCAGCCAATTTCTTAGATCCCACGGAACGGAACTCATTTAAGAGCCTCCTTAAAAGAAACAAAACTACTAACATCTCACTACATTCAGGGTTGCCCTGTGATGCCTGAACCCAGGCTGCTCAGGGAAAGCAGACACGGGCAACTTTGGAGAAAACACGTCCGCATGGTCCTATAAGCCCTGCAGTATTTTATGGAGGTGCATCCAGCCAAATCCTTTCTCCCCAGCTGGGACATTCTCAGTTTGCATTTCCTCCTGGGGAATCACAATACAAGGAAAGAGGCCCGAGCGCTTTCCCGTCCAGTACACAAAATCATTGCATCTCACTCATCAGTGTTAACAGAAGATCTTCACAACAAAAGCATTTGCGGTGCTTTAGAGAACCGCCGAAAGGTATGCACAATTGCAAGCAAGGTGTGGGACATTTTAAGGGTTCAGAACAACCTCTTGTGTTTTACCTCTGTTCATTATACTAAGCTAGGGGGCTTTCTCTTGCTTGAAAGTACATGCAATAGCATCTGAATAGGTGCTCAGAGGTTTTCTCCCTCCATCTGGCTCCTAAAGAACTTTGCTTTTAGTTGCATATATAGATATATTATTATTATAATAATAATATTAAAGTTTTGTGGGCCTTGTTTACTTAATGGCCACTTCACGCCTCCCAGCGCTCCAACGGAAGCTGAGGAAAATAATCCACTTTTGGATCCAGTCTGCAGCCGGAAAACTCACCCCGCCAAAAATAAGGCAACGACTTGGAAGAGGCACGACTGAAAAACCCAAAAACTTACATTCCGCTGCCTCCCCTTTATGCCAAATAGTGAACAGACACCTATGTGTGTAAACTTGTGCGCCTATTAATTAAACAGTTATAAATATACAGAAGAGCTCCTCCGTCAAAAAACATAAATAGATCCTGTTGTGCTCCCACACCCTCCCGGTTCTGTAAACATTTGGCAATACATATCTATATATATATATACATATACATATACATATACATATACACATATACATACACAGATTGCTTCCAGCAAACGAATGTGCAAAACATAGCCGTCTTGTATAGAGGACGGGCAATGAGGTATACTGTGTTTGTGTGTGTGGATTACCCGTAAGCTATTCCAGACCTGCTCTTCAGGGCCTCTCGGGATCTGCGATGCCTGTCCAGAGTTGGCCTGACTCTCTCGACACCCCCCCTCCCACCAGCAGAACGGCTTCCGGCAGGGAAAAGGAGCATCGTCACATCAGGATGCAGCCGCGCTGTTCGCCGTAGGAGTTGTCCACACGATCGATTTCCTCAATGATCCTGGTGAAGACACCTTGGGTCATCTGCGAGGCACAGAAAGGCAAAACACACCTGGGTTACCCAAGAGGAGAAGGGGAACGCTGCTGCGTTTGTCAGGCTTCGGGGAATCGGATGCCTCCCCCGGGGGCAGGAATTAAGCAGGCCAAACAAAAGGAGCGTTCTTACCAGATAAGTTCTTTAATAATCACGCTAAAAAACGGCGTTGCTCCCAGTAAAGGCTCGCCCCCTCCATCCCCATTAATCTATGTCACTCCTACAATGGGTAATCCCAGAATGCCTGAAGGAGCGTCTCTACCCACATTGTTCGGCCCGGACACTGAGGTCCAGCTCCAAGGGCCTTCTGGCGGTTCCCTCCCTGCGAGAAGTGAGGTTGCAGGGAACCAGCCAGAGGGCCTTCTCGGTGGTGGCGCCCACCCTGTGGAACGCCCTTCCCTCAGAAGTCAAGGAAATAAACAACTATCCGACTTTCAGAAGACAAATGAAGGCAGCCCTGTTTAGGGATGTTTTATTGTGTTTTTAATATTCTGTTGGGAGCTGCCAACAGTGGCTGGGGAAACCCAGCAAGGTGGGTGGAGTATAAATAATTTATTATTGTTGTTGTTGTTGTTGTTGTTGTTGTTGTTGTTGTTAGCGGAAGGGGGGGCTTCAGGAATGCAGTCCAAGGACACTGAATCTGCCAGCTGTCTCTCTCCTAGTGCTCTTCTAGCTGCTCCTCACCCAGTATTTCCCAGCTTTTCCCCTCTGGACTATGCCCTTCTGTAAACCGCTATTCTAAATCAATACTGCCCTCCTGCCCTTGGGAAGGTTCAGAAAACCCACCATTCCTCCTCAGTCCAGTCCCTGACATTTTGAGGAGGCGAGGATCCTTCTGAGGTTTGCAAGGTTGGCAAACCCATTGGCCGCCGGATGTTGCTCAGCTCCAATGAGCCCCAGCCAGCACGGTCGTGGATTATGGGAGTCCAGCAACATGGTGGGTGGGTTTGGACAAGGTCTCTATCCCTGTTTTATGTGTTCTTTGGTGAGGTGCCTGGACCAGGGGCAAGTTTCCCTTCTGCAACTGGAAGCACTTGAGATTACACCTGCACCTACCTTTGCAATTACAGTGGTACCTCAGGTTAAGTACTTAATTCATTCCGGAGGTCCGTTCTTAACCTGAAACTGTTCTTAACCTGAAGCACCACTTTAGCTAATGGGGCCTCTTGCTGCTGCCACGCTGCCGGAGTCCAGTTTCTGTTCTCATCCTGAAGCAAAGTTCTTAACCTGAAGCACTATTTCTGGGTTAGCGGAGTCTGTAACCTGAAGCGTATGTAACCTGAAGCGTATGTAACCCAAGGTACCACAGTATCTTATGGCAGGCAGTAAACGTAAAGGACCCCTGGTCGGTTAAGTCCAGTCAAAGGTGACTATGAGGCTGCAGCATTCATCTCACTTTCAGGCCAAGGGAGCCGGCGCTTGTTCACAGACAGCTTTCCGTGTCATGTGGCTAGCATGACTAAACTGCTTCTGGCGCAACAGAACACCGTGACGGAAACCAGAGCGTACGGAAACGCTGTTTACCTTCCCGCCGCAAAGGTGCTTATTTATCTACTTGCGCTGGTGTGCTTTCGAACTGCTAGGTTGGCAGGAGCCAGGACAGAGCAATGGGAGCTCATCCCATCACAGAGATTCGAACAGCTGACCTTCTGATCAGCAAGCCCAAGAGGCTCAGTGGTTTAGATCACAGCGCCACCCGCTTTACAGACAGTAAAGAATAAGCGAGGAAACTGCCCATTCCTAGATACAGGGGCTCTGAAATTCTGGTAGCTGAAACAGAGGCCGCCTGCTAATTCCACATCAAAAACAAAGTCATGGCAATGCTCAAACCACTGGAAGAAGAAAGGGAGGTTTCTGTGGACATCAGAAAGTCACACTCAGTTGCCTCCCAGTGCAAGAGCACAACAAACAGGTATCGTACCTGGTTTTCTTTCGCCGAGGATTCCAAGAACACGGCGCCCCAAGAATCGGCAAGCTTCCGGCCTTCATCAGTCTTCACCTGACGGCTAAAACACACAAACAAAGGGGAGGAGATGAAAGCAGGGGAGACATCAGTTCACCACTACAGGTTGTCATTTGAGACACCTGATGCTGAAGATCTGGGACCGGCGAAGCAGCTGGGTAAAATTAATGAAAAGAAATCAGACAGCGCTGTATGCTGCCCAGAGTGGCTGGGGAAACACAGCCAGAAGAGTGAGGTATAAATAATAAAGTTATTATTATTCCTATTATTATTACTTTGAATGCCTGAAAAAAGGTATGGGTGCGTTATAGGAAATATTTGGACAAGTACAGAATTATTTAGGACATTATTTGGGTTGCAATATTTTGTTTTAGGAACGTGGGTGGCGCTGTGGGTTAAACCACAGAGCCTAGGACTTGCCGATCAGAAGGTCGGCGGTTCGAATCCCCGCGACTGGGTGAGCTCCCGTTGCTGGGTCCCTGCTCCTGCCAACCTAGCAGTTTGAAAGCACGTCAAAGTGCAAGTAGATAAATAGGTACCGCTCTGGCGGGAAGGTAAACGGCGTTTCCGTGCGCTGCTCTGGTTCGCCAGAAGCGGCTTAGTCATGCTGGCCACGTGACCCGGAAGCTGTACACCGGCTCCCTCGGCCAGTAAAGCGAGACGAGCACCGCAAGCCCAGAGTCGGCCACGACTGGACCTAATGGTCGGGGTCCCTTTACCTTTATTTTGTTTTTAGAGGGCGAAAGAATAAACTTGTTCCCATCCCTGCTAAGTTTTCATCTACATTCAAAGCTTTTGACTAACACTGATGTGTTTTGAAAACTTTTATTGCCTCCACGAGAACTAGAAGCCTCCGTAAAAAAACGAAAACCACCAAAATGCTGGATTTCCCCCTATTTCAATCATAAGAGTCCCGTTTTGATGCAGAAATGTTTTACATTTCAGAAACGCGTGACCCTGATCCCTAGAATCAGGAACCAACAGATTTCTTTGGCGCTTACAACAGGGGCCTATTCAAGGCAGAATTCTACTTTGGAATGTTATGAATGTTTGGAATATGGCAAGATTGGAGCCCAGCAAGGAGATAGGGGTCGGCTCGCACAATGCACCATTTATACTGTGGCAAGGCGTGCGCAAGCATACCTAGTGTGAGAGAATACATGAAAACAACCCAAAAAAAAACACAACCCTCCCATTATTATCATCATCAAGGAATGATAATAGAAATGATCTTCAATTAAGGGAAGTTGAATGTGATCCTAGTGAGAGACATAAAGGAACAGCATTTGTTCTAAGAGATCAAAAATTTAATCACAAAAAATTTAACCTCCCCAATCCCAAAATGGCTGCTTTTATGCCCGGTGTGTGAAAAGAAACAGACTGAAGCAAACAGATCCCATCCTTAAGGCTCAGGCTGTATGTTCTCAGGAGGGTGGATTTGATTTAAATCAAATCGCTTTAAATCACGATTTAAATCACTAGTCGGTAAGACTTGATTTAAATCATTATTTTTTTTACAAAAAGACTCATTCTTGCTGATATAATCTTAATATTTACAACCAGAGGAAGGTTTCATTTTTGGAATAATAAATTTTCAGAGTAGTTTTTACAGTTCTATCAAAAATCACTGATTTGGTTATACTATTAGAAATACAGTGGTACCTCGGGTTAAGTGCTTAATTCGTTCCAGAGGTCCATACTTAACCTGAAACTGTTCTTAACCTGAAGCACCACTTTAGCTAATGGGGCCTCCTGCTGCTGCCGTGCCGCCGGAGCACAATTTCTGTTCTCATCCTGAAGCAAAGTTCTTAACCTGAAGCACTATTTCTGGGTTAGCAGAGTCTGTACTCTGAAGCATATGTAACCTGAAGCGTATGCCACCCGAGGTACCACTGTACAAAGACAGGCAATTATGAAATTATTATTTCTATCTGGACAACTTTTCTGCTATACTTTATTGGAAGGAGAAAAATAATCATTTCCTTAATAACAATTTATTTAACTAAGACAATAACGTTATAGCATATGTATCCATGTTTGTTAACCGGTGTGAGTTTTAGCACACATGAAAAACTCAAAACAAATCCTTATTTCCTGATGAATAGCCTTTGGACTATAATGTAAACTTAAACAGAAAACTATCTTTAGAAAGATTTTTCCTCCAAAAGCATTTTATTTAAAAAATCCGATTTAAATAAAAAAAATCCGTTTTAAATTTAAAAAAAAAAATCTGATTAAAAAACCCCCCAAAACCCTGCTTTTTATTTTTATTTTTAAAAAATCATTGATTTTTATCCACCCTGGTTCTCAGGCGAGAGAAGGCAAAGCTCTTACCTTTCTAGAGACAGATCAGCTTTATTGCCAACAAGCACTACCGGCATCCTGCCAAAGGAGAAAGAGACACTCTTAGAAGAAGAAGAAGAAGAAGAAGAAGAAGAAGAGGAGGAGGAGTTTGGATTTTATATCCCACTTTATCACTATCCTAAGGAGTCTCAAAGTGGCTAACATTCTCCTTTCCCTTCCTCCCCCACAACAAACACTCTGTGAGGTGAGTGGGGCTGAGAGACTTCAGAGAAGTGTGACTGGCCCAAGGTCACCCAGCAGCTGCATGTGGAGGAGCGGGGAAGCGAACCCGGTTCACCAGATTACGAGTCCACTGCTCTAAGCCACTACACGACACTGGCTCTCTCTTTTCTTAGGAAAAGTGGAGGGCTCAACCCCAAAACCACTCACCAAAGCACTTCCAACAGCCAGGGGTTCAGCATCTTACCAGCTCCTGCCTCAAAGGCTGCTCTTGCATAGGAGCTGCCAAGACAAGAACTGTGGCACTTCTCTTGCAAGGACATGCACTTCTGATGGGAGCTGCTCCTTTCCTTGCAGAACTCAATCAGAAATTATTCCTGCATTTCAGGGGGTCGCACCCAATGGCCCCCTTGGGGTCCCTTCCAACTCTATGGTTCCATGAAACGATTTGTACCACGTCACTGTGTGTCGTTTAAGGGCAGGGTCTCCCAAACTTGGGTCGCCAGCTGTTTCTGGACTACAACTCCCATCATCCCTAGCTAGCAAGGATGAGCGTTCAGGGATGATGGGAACTGTAGTCCAAAAACAGCTGGCGACCCAAACACTTTGGGAAAGCCTGGGCTTAGAGGAGAGGTGGAGAAGCTGTGACCGTCCATTGGACCCATAGCTGTCAACGTTTTTCCTTTTTTTAAGGGAAATTCCCTTATTCCGAATAGGATTCCTCGCAAGAAAAGGGAAAAGTTGACAGCTATGATTGGACCTCAACTCCCATAGTCCCTGAACTTTGATCAGACTGGTGGCTAAAAGAAAAATAAAGCATTAAAAAAACAATTAAAGAAGGTTAGAAGTAAAACTAGATACATATACAGTCGTACCTTGGATCCCAAACACCTTGGTACTCAGACATTTTGGCTCCTGAATGCTGCAAACCCGGAAATTAGTGTTCTGGTTTGCGAACGTTCTTTGGAACCCGAACGTTTGACGGGGCTGCCGATTGGCTGCAGGAGCTTCCTGCAGCCAATCAGAAGCTGTGCTTTGGTTTCTGAACGTTTTGGAAGTCGAACAGACTTCTGGAACGGATTCCGTTCAACTTCCAAGGTATGACTGTATAAACTCTATTAAACCATAGAAATAATTTCGAGAAAAACAGCACATATTATTGTAACACCACCCACACTATGCAGTAAAAGAGCTATGATACCACTTTAAACAGCCATGTCTTCCCTCAAAGATTTCTGGGAGCTGTAGTTTGGGAAGGGTGCTGAAAGTTGTTAGGAGAACCCTCACAGACCTACATATGTGACTGACTTTTGGAGACACATGCCAAGCACATGCCCGCACCTCATAGCTGTCAACGTTTCCCTTTTTTAAAAAAAAATACTAATAATATTTATTGAATGATTTTATGTTACAAAAAATAATGCAACCATACTACCACTAAATATAAGAAATAAAAATTACGTACATCAATATTTAGTTTGTTATTTGTTATTTACCGTCTTATTTGCTCCCAAACATTCCATAGAAAAACACACGTTTCCCTTTTTTTAAGAGAAATTCCTTATTCTGAATAGGATTCCTCGCAAGAGCTTTTACTTCCATTCTAGAATTCTTTCCAATTGTGCTCTTTCTTGCCCGCACGCCACCAAATTAATATTTACCTTGTCTTCCCTCTGCTTTCATATAACTTGCTGTGTAAAGACTTTACCACTTGAAAACTGAGAAGAGAGAAAAGAGGAAGAATGATAGGACGTCACTTCTCGAACACAAGACAGTGTCGCTCAGGTTAAGCTACACAGACCACGTTCATGACATGCATTTAAAAAGCTGTACAATTCCCAGAGTTCCCTGTGAAGAAGGATTGACTATGATGAAACCACTCTGGGAAATATAGCTCTGAATGCGGTCCTACTGACTTTGCATGGAAGTAGAAAGCTCATCTTGTCCCCCATTCAAGTGCTTAGCTCCAACAATTGACTGGAATATGTGAAAAAATAGCATTAATCTGAATGGTTCCATTTAGAACAGAAAAAGAACAGAGGCCAGCAGTTGTGGAGCATTTGGAAAGGGTTATGGAAACATGGAAAACCGTAATTGGGAAGAGAAAAACTAAGGCTATTATAGGACCTTCTCAAATCATTTGAGTAGATTTGCAAGGCAACAAGGCTCTGTACCATCAACTAGGGCTAGATGATATATCAATATATCATCCAAAACTGGTTTTAAGTCCCATAATTTTTGACCAGGCGATATACAGTCGTACCTTGGATCCCGAACGCCTTGCAAGTCGAACATTTTGGCTCCCGAACGCCGCAAACCCAGAAGCGAGTGTTGCGGTTTGTGAACGTTCTTTGGAAGCTGAACATCTGACGGGGCTTCCGATTGGCTGCAGGAGCTTCCTGCAGCCAATCAGAAGCCGCACTTCGGCTTCCGAACGTTTTGGAAGTCGAACGGATTCCGTTTGACTTCCAAGGTATGACTGTATCGCGAATCATGATATATCTGTGGGTGGGTGGGTGTGCGCGCTATGCAAAAACCACAATGTGGGGAAAACCGCGAAGCCAGCCAATGCTTCTCTCGATTCCTGCAGCCCATTAACTCTGCTGACTCAGCTCTCCACCTGCCTCCTGCAGGGGGCAGTGAATCACAAGAGCCAGCGCCGGCAAAAAACACAATGCAGGAAAAAGCCGTGAAACCAGCCAATATTGTGATATACGGGTATACAGTGGTACCTCGGGTTACGAACTTAATTCATTCCGGAGGTCCGTTCTTAACCCGAAACCGTTCTTAACCTGAGGCACGCTTTCGCTAATGGGGCTGCCGCTGGCGCACAATTGCTGTTCTCATCCTGGGGGAAAGTTTGTAACCCGAGGTACTACTTCTGGGTTAGCGGAGTTTGTAACCCAAAGTGTTTGTAACCTGAGGTGTTTGTAACCCGAGGTACCACTGTATCATGATGTTTAGCTGTATTGCAATACAGTGGTACCTCGGGTTAAGTACTTAATTCGTTCCGGAGGTCCATTCTTAAGCTGAAACTGTTCTTAACCTGAAGCACCACTTTAGCTAATGGAGCCTCTTGCTGCCACTGCGCCGCCGGAGCATGATTTCTGTTCTCATCCTGAAGCAAAGTTCTTATCCCGAGGTACTATTTCTAGGTTAACAGAGTCTGTAACCTGAAGCATATGTAACCTGAAGCGTATGTAACCCGAGGTACCACTGTACTGAAAACCAGGTATCGCCCAGCCCTAAGGTCAACCAACCAACAATACTCAGAGCAGCCTCCATCAACACACCAAACTCTTGGCCTTCTTACCTCTTGAGAGATGTAACGGAATACACCAGCACGTAGCCATGAATGCCAATGGTAAATGAGTGAGGCAAGATTGTGTATTCATCCTGGACAGAAACAAAAAAGAGAGGAAGAGGCTCTTCGATTTCGATACGTTTCGTGAATCTGAAGACAACCCAGTTCAGCAATTGGCCCGTTTTGAAGCCCATGAATGCACACGTGTGTGGACCATGAATGCACATGTGTGTGGACCATGCTTCAGCACGTGACTCCTGCCCAGATAATGGATCTCTGGCAAAGTTCAGATGAACTTCCTCAAAATACCTCCCTGCCCTATAGGCCTTTCGGGACCACGTGTCAAAGCAAGCAATTAATCCCATAGGCCACCGTGCTGCGGGAGAGCAGTGAAATATCAATAGACAAACAAGGACAACCTATCTTACCTGCCCGGCAGTGTCCACTAGTTGCAGATGGAATTCATCCTTTCCCAGCATCAACATTTTGTTGTAAGCTAAAGTGGGAAGCGAGGGAAGAAGGCAATTTACAGCAACCTTGCTCTGCACCTGCTGCACCCCTCCCCAAACTAAGCCACATCCTTGGCTCCACCCCAAAGTTCTGTGCTATTTTTATCCCCCCTTTCTCCCGCTGCCAGTTTAGTCCTCGGCCAGCCACTATAATCTGTCCCTTGTGTCCCCATCACTGCCTGGCTGTCAAGCCAATGCTGTTTCACCTGAGCTGAGGAAGCAACAGCAAAGCGATTGCTTTCGCGGCGTCTTCTCGCAAAACAGATATTGGGAAAACTCTCAAGGAGCAGAGGCCTTGAAAATATTGCTATGTGCACATGCAGGGCTCGTCTGTTATGGCTTTTCTGCACGTCGTGAAAGTGTTTTAAAAAAACCTCGGGTGTGGGAGAGACCCACAAGGGAGATAATATAATATAATATAATAAATAAATAATTAATAATAATAATAATAATTTATTAATTATACCCCACCCATCTGGCTGGGTTTCCCCAGCCACTCTGGGCGGCTTCCAACAAAACACTAAAATACAATAACATATTAAACATTAAAATCTTCCCTAAACAGGGCTGCCTTCAGATGTCTTCTAAAAGGTTGGTAGTTATTTTTCTCTTTGACATCTGGTGGGAGGGCGTTCCACAGGGCGGGCGCCACTACCGAGAAGGCTCTCTGCCTGGTTCCTTGTAGCTTCGCTTCTCGCAGTGAGGGAACCGCCAGAAGGCCCTCGGCGCTGGACCTCAGTGTCTGGGCAGAACGATGGAGGTGGAGACGCTCCTTCAGGCATACTGGACCGAGGCCGTTTAAGGCTTTAAATGTCAGCACCAACACTTTGAATTGTGCTCGGAAACGTACTGGGAGCCAGTGTAGGTCTTTCAAGACCGGTGTTATATGGTCTTGGTGGCCACCCCCAGTCACCAGTCTAGCTGCCGCATTCTGGATTTAAAGAGTAAATTGGCAAGGAGAGAGTGTGTGCGTATGTTGCACAGCTAAAGCAGAAATGAACAGCCACAAAAGCCCAGGTGCAGATATGGATTGTTTTGATCATAGCCATTATGTTTTTTGGAGCATCTGCCTGGAGTAAATTAGCTTTCCCCAAAGCAGCTGCCGAAGAAGCTGGCTGCAAAAGGACCCCTGAAACTTTTGGCTCCAGTCACTGCATAGTAGAAGCAGGCAAAGCGGTTCTACAAAACAGCCCGGCCACATCCCACGGACAAAGATGCTCTCTGTGTGTGCCGTGACAGCTTATATCCAGATCCCATGCAGAGTTAGATTCACCTGATTATTTGCAGGGTAGCGCCAGAATTCGCAGGAGGTGCATTTGCTCAGTAGGAAGGGAAAGGCATTCTGCATGTGCTCAGGGGCACATTTACTATTCTCCCACCGGCTCGTAGAAATAATAATTGTCAGCTACCAAGCCCAGGCAGTTACAAAGGAACAAAAGTGGCAAGCTCCAATACATGCACAAACCCCAACAGACAATTATCACTAAAAACATCTGACGCCATACCAACTCAGGGAAATGTTTTGGGTAGATAAATCTCCCCCCTCCCCCCAAAAAATGTAATTCCCCAGGAGTGATCACCACACAGGGCAAACCGGAAGTGGACAAGGCAGATTTATGGGGAAATTGGCCCTTCAGATAACCTAAAAAATGTTCCGCTGTATGAAGTGGGTGTGAGTGGCAGCCCCATTCGAAAACAGGAAAGGACTCTTGCGATGAGGGAGGGTTTGCGGCCTGGCAGGAAGTGAGGAGAGGTGCTACTGAATCCGTTTATCACTGGGGAGAAAACACTTGAGCTTTCCACACGACATCCCAGCTACGCACAAGAGCTATTTCACTTTTAGCATCACCTGAAACCCAAAACAGTCCGTTTTTGCTTCGCTTGGTACAGAAATAGGGCTCTATTGCTCTGCCCATGGGTCAAAGAAAATATATATTTAAAGGTAAAGGTAAAGGTACCCCTGCCCGTACGGGCCAGTCTTGACAGACTCTAGGGTTGTGCACCCATCTCACTTAAGAGGCCGGGGGCCAGCGCTGTCCGGAGACACTTCCGGGTCATGTGGCCAGCGTGACATCGCTGCTCTGGCGAGCCAGAGCCGCACACGGAAACGCCGTTTACCTTCCCGCTAGTAAGCGGTCCCTATTTATCTACTTGCACCCGGGGGTGCTTTCGAACTGCTAGGTTGGCAGGCACTGGGACCGAACAACGGGAGCGCACCCCGCCGCGGGGATTCAAACCGCCGACCTTTCGATCGGCAAGCCCTAGGCACTGAGGCTTTTACCCACAGCGCCACCCGCGTCCCTAAATATCTACCAATGATCAAAACTTCCCTCTATCTTGCTCACTGCTTGACTATAACAAACAAGAGCCCAGATATACCCAGAAAAGATCTAACCACAACACTTACTGCTTTCCACGGTAGGATCGTAACACTCCAGAAACTCCCCATCAATGAACTGGTGTGCAAGGGATGTTTTACCTGAAGAGGAAAGATGAGAAAAGAAAGCCTTGCCTCAGGTGTGCTCTTTGGATCTCAGCAGCCAATAAACTCAGCATTCAGAGGAAAACAAACACCTCCAGCAGGTCCCCCCAAAATTACACTGATTCCCAGTTTAAGATCGCCCCACCTGTCAAGGAAATTCCTACGCTTAAGTTCTGGGGTGAGGCGAAACACAGTGATAGAGCAAAGTAATTTGGTTTTAAACCACTATCGCCCCTGTGATAACTCAAAAGTGGGTAATGGACAAATGGTTGAGAGCTCTAGAATAATTTGGATGAACTCAAAAGAGGCAGAGGGAATTGTCTCTTGAAAACCTAAAAAATTGCAAATGTGAATTTTTAGGCTGGTGACAGATCTTCAAAGGGGGGAAGTAAATAATGAAAGTTGTCTTCATGGTACTATTTGATATACAGAAAACACTAACACATTCAGTTGATTTGAAGGTCTGATGTGAATTTGCAGAGTGGAGGGCTTTTAGGGGAAAACACTTTATCTTTGAATATACTTGTCACAAATTGTGGCTCTTACATTTCATGCCTTCTGGGACCCTCTGTTTACAATTTTCTTCATACTGGAGCCTGTGTATAGATGGGCATGCCACATATATTCTTAATACCTGCCAGCCAGTTATAAACTTCACACGTTCAATAAAAGTGCTGTTTTTTCTTATCCTTTACAAACTGTACATACAGATACAACCAGTCCACTTGTGGACTTTCTTACACAAAATGACCTGATAGCAGAAGATCAATGCTAATTCTCTTTAACTTTGTGCACTGTTGAATACAACAACCCCTTGTGTTTAAGGCTCCATAAAACTCTCAATGGTTAATCCTCAGTGGTGCTATTTCGTGCTTTTAATTTTTAATTTTAACAAATTGATTACATCACTCGGTTATTCAGTCAAGAAATTTAAAACATACTCATTGCTTAATATCAATTATCTTGTGGATTCCCTCTTAAACAAATTCATCTACTAAATTTACAGCTCAATGTATATAAGCTTTTGCAGAAGTAAGTCCCATTACTTTCAGATAAATGAGCACAGGACTACAGTCTTAGATATATGTACCGTGTCTCAAATCCTGCAGTATTAATCCAACTGAGATGAGAAAGGGTCCCCCCCCCCTGTACAGTGAAAAGCAATCAATATGTCAGCAGCTTTTAGCCAGTACCAATTTGTAAGTCATTGTTTTGGGGTCAGTTCAGGCAATGTTGTTTTATTTAACGCCATCAAGCAAATACAGCATTCAGTATTGCGGATCAATATTTGGATAGCCATGTATCAGCTATGGGCTGCTCCTCACCATAAATTGAGTTTGGCAACACACACACACACACGTCTCTGAATGCAAGGAGACTGGCTCATGGGCTGCAATGTTGCGCCTAATTAGGCTACAAAGCTGGTTCCCCAAGGCTGTTTGTGTGTTGCCAAGTCGTCTGGAGGAAAACAGAAGAGCCAGCAGCTTAGACATCTGCTGGTACATGCAGAACGGGCCTCATCTCATGCCTTGGGGGAAGCCCACAAGCCCAAGAGGTCATCTGGACCAGAGGATGGGATGAGCAGAAGTGGGGAAACATCATCATAATAATAATAATAATAATACCCCGCCCATCTCGCTGGGTTTCCCCAGCCACTCGGGACAGCTTCCAACAGAATATTAAAATACAATAACCTATTAAACATTAAAAGCTTCCCTAAACAGAGCTGCCTTCAGATGTTTTCTAAAAGTCTGGTAGTTGTTGTTCTCTTTGACATCTGGTGGGAGGGCGTTCCACAGGGCGGGTGCCACTACCGAGAAGGCCCTCTGCCTGGTTCCCTGTAACTTGGCTTCTCGCAGCGAGGGAACCGCCAGAAGGCCCTCGGCGCTGGACCTCAGTGTCCGGGCAGAACGATGGGCAAGAGGACGAGGTCTTTGCTCTTTCTTCTTCTTGGTGACAAAAGAAAGGGCTGTGCCCAGGTACATAGGGATTTAGTGAACTAGCCAAAGATGTTGCATCCCACCTGGTGGACCATGGAGGAAGCGCCAGAAGAAAACAAGAAGATCTGCAAAGATTTGTCTCCACGATGCAGCTCCGGGGTGTATTAACAGCATTTAGCATATTCCTCCCGCACGTGCCACATGAAAGGATCTGGGGTCACGTTCACATCTTTGCACATAAGTGTGCACAGAACAATTTATGAATCTGTTTAGCCTGTACATCTTGTTGTTAACTCTTGCCCTCCCACACTCCTCCAAGATCTTGGATGGCGGCTAACAGATTGAGGTTGAATCCCGAAAAGACAGAAGTACTGTTTTGGGGGGACAGGAGGCGGGCAGGTGTGGAGTATTCCCTGGTCCTGAATGGGGTAACTGTGCCCCTGAAGGATCAGGTGCGCAGCCTGGGAGTCATTTTGGACTCACAGCTGTCCATGGAGGCGTGGGTCAAATCTGTGTCCAGGGCAGCTGTTTACCAGCTCCATCTGGTATGCAGGCTGAGACCCTACCTGCCCACGGACTCTCTCGCCAGAGTGGTGCATGCTCTGGTTATCTCCCGCTTGGACTACTGCAATGCGCTCTACATGGGGCTACCTTTGAAGGTGACCCGGAAGCTACAACTAATCCAGAACGTGGCAGCTAGACTGGTGACTGGGAGCGGCCACTGAGACCACATAACACCGGTTTTGAAAGACTTACATTGGCTCCCAGTACGTTTCCGAGCACAATTCAAAGTGTTGGTGCTGACCTTTAAAGCCAAAACGGCCTCGGTCCAGTATATCTGAAGGAGCGTCTCCTCCCCCATTGTTCTACCCGGACACTGAGGTCCAGCTCCGAGGGCCTTCTGCTGGTTCCCTCACTGCGAGAAGTGAGGTTACAGGGAACCAGGCAGAGGGTCTTCTCGGTAGTGGCACCCTCCCTGTGGAACGCCCTCTCACCAGATGTCAAAGAGAACAACTACCAAACTTTTAGAAGACATCTGAAGGCAGCCCTGTTTAGGGAAGCTTTTAATGTTTGATGTATTACAGTATTTTAAATTTTTTTGGAAGCCGCCCAGAGTGGCTGGGGAAGCCCAGCCAGATGGGCGGGGTATAAATTATTATTATTATTGTTGTTGTTGTTGTAGCAGCTGAGTCAGCATCCTTTTTAGTTCAGCCACAAGGGAAGGGATTTATACAGTATGTAGCTAGTTTAAAGATGCTGCTCTGTTTAAAGATGCTGCTAGTTTAAAGATGCTGCGATTCTCTACTGCAGACTAGCTAGCCAGGTGCCTTAGATCTGAGTCTAATGCACTAGAACAGCTGCCCCCCCCCAACCTTGTGTCCTCAGACTACAACTCACATCAACCTCAGCTCACATGGCTCTACTGGTTCCTACTAATGGGAGTTGTAGTTCAAAATATCTAGAGGGCACTAGGTTGGGAAGATGGCAGTACGGATTCTTAGAATTCTCCTTGCTGTGTTGAAAGAAATATTTCAAATTCCTTGAATGTTTAGCAACTTGGGCAACCTGGCACCCAGGGTTCTTCCAGTCCAACTTACTAGAGCCTTCTGACATCTCTAAATTATCTGTGAAGCAAAGAGAGGCTCTTTATTCTTTTTAATACGGGCTCTAAACACCGAAAAAAGGGGCAGCACACCCAAGAAAAGTAAATAAAAATGTGAAGTCATTGTCTTAACCTCATTCAGGGGAATGACATGGCCGAACACTCCCCTAAATCACCATTTGTTTGCATGCGCAAGCAACAAGACAATCCCAAGGCACTGATGTTCAACGCTGCAGGAGAGCAGAGGTGTGCAATTAAATATGGCCGCATTTACCCATACCAAACATGGAACATTTTGTTTTGCAACAGCCCCACACCAGCAAAGCAGAACTCTTGCTACAGCTTGACCTGTTCAAACAAGGCACAGATGGTTGTAGGAGGAGGATCAACAACCCAAACATTACGCACCCAGGGTCCACGCCAACTAGAAATGTATTAACCCCTTCTGACGCAGAAAGGACCCCTGGCCTTAAAATAAAATTCTCACGCACAGGCACATCAAGATTCTATTACCCACCCAACCCCAAGGAAGGAAAGGCTGCCCAAGGCTTAATATAAGAAAACAAGCCACTTCACCACCCAGCCTCCCATTATGACCTCTGACCTCTGGTCATTTCCTCCCACTGCATGTGAATTAATAGAAAACAGACCCCAAGTGACCTCTTGCATTTGTGTTCAGGGAAGAGGTCAGATGAGCAGGGAAATGTGCATGTGCAAATAACTCCCCAAGGAGAAACTAGGAAAGGTCAGGCAATAAACTGTCCAGAAGCTACAAGTTTTCTGGACTCAGGAGCCGCTAAAGCTGTTCTGGATAGGCAAGGAGGGCTCCAGTTCACTATAAATAGGTGACTAGGGAAAAAAGGGGGAGGTGTTACTCGTGGATGCAAATGCATGCAGAATTTTAACTCCGTCACTGCAGATCTTAACACACACACCCCAGCAACTTATACCTAAACAAGTATTTAATAGGACATGCTAAGATTTGAAGTTTGGGCAGGGGGCTTGTAATTGCATTGTGATTTCCCCTGGGGGAAAAAACACGCACAAACATACACGATTCCCCCCCCTCCCCCACACACTTGGCAGAGATTTATGGCACTTTGCAACAACGATTCTGTGCAAGCAGCAAAGGGAGAAATGTTTCTGTCTCAGGATGTACGAACTTCAAGCCCAGGAAGCTCTCAGACAGGAAACCCACAACACAGAGAGCAGGGCAGCCCATCCCCAAACACGGGCTGCTCGGAGAATCAAAGGGCACCAATCCCCACACTGCCCCGTTTTCCGTTTGGCCTGATCCTGTCAATATTCAAGTTCTACGATTTTGGTGCCTGCCCCTTCCCGATATTTTAAGCATGAAGATCAGGATGCAGGTGGTGTTGCTATTCTTATTTCCCAAATCACCCCCTACCTACATTTCCGAAGACCCCCAGCAAAGTCGCCCATATAATCAGGCCTACCTGACTAGTCCTAGACCAGGGCGGGGCTCCCCCTCCACCCCCTTTAAGAGAGAGCTGTAGAGAGAGGAGGGAATCTCGGGCAGGTGTTCCTGGCGCGGACACACCTGCCGAAATCCTCCCTTCCACGCGCGCACCTCCTGCTAGAAAGGCGCAGAAGCGCCTCTCCGCTTTCTCACCTGGAGATGCCGATCCCCCTCCCCGGTCCTCTCGCATCCCCCTAAAACCAAAGCCTCCCCAGATATATAAAAAAGTCATTTATCCCAGCTGCTCCCATTCCTCGCCGCCTTCCCCACCCGCGCTCCGGATGGCAAGGGCTGCTCCGGGCGCACCACGTGCGGCGTCCTGGCCACACGCACCAGACCCGCTTCCTCATCCTTCCCCGCTTTCCGGCCACCCCCCACCCCACCCATGGCATGCTTCCAAACCAGCCCCCCACCCCGGGGACCCCCACTCCGCGCGACCCCTTCTTAGCACCCACCCGTGATCCAGCCCGCCCTTCCCCACGCGCCCTTTGATTGTTCCAAGCCTCCGCGGCCAGACCCTCGTGCAAGCTCCTCTCCCCCTCCCCCGCTACGCGAGGAGACCCCCCCTTAATCCTTGCCACCTCCCGAGCACCCACCCCCTGGCCACGTGCCCCCCTCCCCTCCCCATCTCTTCCTCGATCTGGACCACTTCCTCACCCACAGAGCGGTATCCCAGGATCACGACCTTCCGATAGCGCACCAGCGGCATGGCCCGGCGCAGGGCGTGGGGAGGGAGGGAGGGGGGCGTGGGGTGCCGCAAGGCGGGCGGGCCGCACGATGAAAGAGCCCGCCGGAGAGTAGAGCCGCGGGCGCCGCCGCCGCCGCAACTACAAACGCCCACGTGACCACAACACTGGCCTACAGCCGCCGCTCCTCATTGGCCCCGGGGAAGAGGGCGCGTGCGCGCTGCGGAGGTGTTCCCGTTCCATTCATGAAAAACGGAGAGGGGGGGGGAGGCGAGGCGCGGGGGAGGATGCGGGGGGCGTTTCCCGACGCGCAAGTGAGGAGCTCCGCCGGGCGGGAAAGCGGCCGGGCGCTTAGCCGAGCCTTACCTAATAATAATAATAATAATTTATTATTTATACCCCGGCCATCTGGCTGGGCTTCCCCAGCCACTCTGGGCGGCTTCCCAAAAAATATTAAAATATCGAAGCAATTTAAAGACTATTTGAATAAATACTGTAACATTAAAAATTAGAAATTACTTGAAAGTACCAAATAGGCCTAGGACTAAATTAAGGGTTAGTTAAATAAATGAGATCTAGAACCTGAAGAAAAGTTAAGAAATTTTAGTTTAATTGGAATATTGTGTTTTAATAATGATATGAGAAAACTGCTACATTTAAATACAAGGAAATTGAGATGGGAGGGCTCAGAGGAAGTCCAGAACATGTTTATGAGGTTAGAAGTTTAAGTAACCAATTAATTTGTGTTGTTTAGGTGTTGTTATGGGTTTTTTATTTTCTTTTTTGTTTATATTTGTGATTTTTTGTTTTTTGTTTTTTTGTTGTAGTATGTGTTATATTTGTAAGAAACTTAATAAAAACTATTTAAACAAAAATATATATATTAAAATACCGTAATACATTAAACATTAAAAGCTTCCCTAAACAGGGCTGCCTTCAGATGTTCTCCGCGTGTTTACTTGGGAGTAAATGGCCTCGAGCTCAGTGGGATTTCAATAACGCTGAGCAGCGAGAGGCTGGAGAAAAGGAGGGTCAAAGGAGGGGATTGCAATAGAGAACTTTCCTCCCCCTCAGCAGATGAAAACATTAGCAGGATTTAAACTTGTAAACGGTGCTTTTTTTGTAAAATTAAAAAAAAATGCTTAGGGGTACTCTAATTTTGACTCAAGAAAATCACAATTTTATAGTTCGAATCGGTGGAACATGAATACAGTAAATGGACAAAAGTACGAAGATTCACAAAATGTTTAGGGGTATGCGTAACCCCAGAAAAAAGCACTGCTTGTGTTGTAACAAATACTTTGGATAGTATGGAGGGATACAAAGTTTAGATTATGGAATGATATGCAGTTGTAAATGTTCAATATAGGACCCATGGAGGGGATGAGGGGAAGTCTTGAGATTCAGAGTAATCTCCATATATGGATATGTATTTGGATTGTTATAAATTTTTACTTGTAAAATCAAATAAAAGTGATTTTTTTTAAAAAAAAGAAGAGAAATGAGAACTTTCCTCCCCCTCATCCATTCATTCCTCCTTTGAGAATGGTTGTGATGGACGAGCCATGGCTTATTCGCCTCTCTTTGTGTTTTTTAATTTTTATTTATACTTTTCAAGTTTATACATTTCACTAATTTTATATAACCCATTAAATTTTACCATCATTTTGACATTTCACAACTTGGCTTTCTTCCCCCTCTTTCTGCGGTTCCTTAAATTCCTTTTAATATCTTCTGCATATCCAAATTAACCCAATTTGCTCATTTATTCATTTTCTTTAAATATATACTCTTACGAAACTGCCGGTAATTACAATAGTCCTGCCAATGTTTTTATCTGTTTTCAGTTTATCTGTAAATATTCAATAAGCCATTTCCATTCTTTTATAAAAAGTTTGTTATCTTGATTTCTTATTCTTCTGGTAAGTTTCGCCATTTCTGCATATTCCATAAGTTTTTGTATCCATTCTTCGTTTGCTAGGACTTATTTGTCCGTCTTTTATCTTTTTTAAAAAATTGTTTTTATTGCAAAAATTCTTGGGTTACAAAAGTATATATACATCGTCTGTTTTCAGATCATAAAACGACACCCGTTCTCTCCCTCCCCCCCCCCACCTCTCTTCCCACCCCCCAACCTTATCAAACTGACAACTGTGACAGTGGTACCTCGGGTTAAGTACTTAATTCGTTCCGGAGGTCCGTTCTTAACCTGAAACTGTTCTTAACCTGAAGCACCACTTTAGCTAATGGGGCCTCCCGCTGCCGCCACGCTGCCGGAGCACAATTTCTGTTCTCATCCTGAAGCAAAGTTCTTAACCCGAGGTACTATTTCTGGGTTAGCGGACTCTGTAACCTGAAGCGTATGTAACCCGAGGTACCACTGTACTGGAGAAAAAAGCATCCTTCATTGCCTCTGTGGGCTGAAGCAGGCTAACGTAGGGTGGTGCAGGACAGGCAAACAGCTATAGGCGCTTGTAAAGGTACGCCTGACCATTAGGTCCAGTCGCAGACGACTCTGGGGTTGCGATGCTCAGCTCACTCTATGGGCCGAGGGAGCCAGCATTTGTCCGCAGCTTCCAGGTCATTTGGCCAGCATGACTAAGATACTTCTGGCGATCCAGAGCAGCTCATGGAAATGGCGTTTACCTTCCCACCGGAGTGGTACCTATTTATCTACTTGCACTTTGATGTGCTTTCGAACTGCTAGGTTGGCAGGAGCAGGGACTGAGCAATGGGAGCTCACCCCGTCACGGGGATTCAAACTGCCGACCTGATCGGCAAGCCCTAGGCTCTGTGGTTTAGACCACAGCGCCACCCGCTAATAGACTGTCGCTATTTTCCGGTGGGATTCAGTCAAAGTCAAGTTTTGCACTTTTATGGTCTGTTGGGAGGCCTTGTTCAACTTTCCTTTTTGCAGTAAGGAAAGTGACCCAAAAATGCACTCCAAAAAGTGTGTGGGAGGAGGCTTGTTTTGACGCAACGCCATTTAATCTCTCGCCACAAATACATTTGACGGAACTCTCTTGAAATAGCCAACCTAGTTGTGAGATTTCCCTGCAAACAGATCAGGATGAAGGCTCCATAAACTGGTCTTCTGGAAGTGCCCTAGATCTGGGCAGCCTGCGTGTGATTGAACCCCACCTGAAAACAGTGACTCTGGAATCCCCCAAGCAATATATTGGAAATAAACCGTTTCTTTTGGACTCCACAGACAGCTTTGCTCTTCTGGGGCACGTAGTGTTCTGGCATTTGACTTTGGTACACCAATTGCTATCATAACAATGCAGATGATGCCATATTCCAAGTCTGTGCTTATGGAAAAGATACTGCCTTTGTACCAATTGAAACCATTATTAGTCTGTCTAGCTCAGTATTGTGGGCACTGATTTGCAGAGTTCCTCCCAGGACTCTGAACCTGGGGTCTTTGTTTACAAGGATAGGGTGTGATGGGATGCAGGTGGCGCTGTGGGTTAAGCCACAGAGCCTAGGGCTTGCCGATCAGAAGGTCAGCGGTTCGAATCCCTGCGACGGGGTGAGCTCCCGTTGCTCGGTCCCTGCTCCTGCCAACCTAGCAGTTCGAAAGCACGTCAAAGTGCAAGTAGATAAACAGGTACCGCTCTGGCGGGAAGTTAAATGGCGTTTCCGTGTGCTGCTCTGGTTCACCAGAAGCGGCTTAGTCATGCTGGCCACATGACCCGGAAGCTGTATGCCGGCTCCCTCGGCCAATAAAGCGAGATGAGTGCCGCAACCCCAAAGTCAGTCACGACTGGACCTAATGGTCAGGGGTCCCTTTACCTTTACCTTTATAGGGTGTGTGCTCTGTCATAAAGACAGGGCCCCTCTCTATCTTCACCCAACAATCCAAATTATCTGCATGCTTCCTTGTTTCTCCTAAAAAGGTAAAAGTAAAGGACTCCTGACAGTTAAGTCCAGTCGCAGACGACTCTGGGGTTGCGGCGCTCATCTCGCTTTACAGGCCTAGGGAGCTGGTGTTTGTCCACAGTTTTTCTGGGTCATGTGGCCAGCATAACTAAGTCTCTTCTGGCGAAACAAGAGCAGCGCACGGAAACGCTGTTTACCTTCCCACCAGAGTGGTACCTATTGATCTACTTGCACTTTTGGGCGTGCTTTCGAACTGCTAGGTTGGCAGGAGCAGGGACCAAGCAACTGGAGTTCACCCCATCGCAGGGATTCGAACCGCCGACCTTCTGATCGGCAAGCCCAAGAGGCTCAGTGGTTTAGACCACAGCGCCACCCACGTCCCTTTTGTTTCTCCTAGGGATGCCTTTTTCCAGTTGTTTGGATATCTAGAATGCGAGTCTATAAACCATGATTGGGGGAACCTGCCACCCTCCAGATGTTGTTGCACTCCCTGCTCCCCTCCTAAGCTTTGCCAGTGAGTCAGGGATGGTGGGAATTTGTTTGTTTGTTAATTATTAATTAATTATACAGCCCTTCATCAAAGGGTAACAACACATGTTCATCATGGCTTTTGGGATGCTCAAGTTTTTAAAGCTAGGTCACTCCTAGCCGTTCCCAGGTCTGTAGTTACACTCACTGATGCCATTATTAAAATCTGTGAAGTTGTAATGTTAAGTTTAATTTCTGATCATTCTGATTTTTTGTTAAGAACTAAGACCAGAAGCTGTTTCCATGCATTCTTGGGCTGGGGCACTAGAGGGCGGCTGAAACCATGCAGCTTAAAGATTACATGTTTTATCCTGTGTTTCCTAACAAAATCCAGTAGCCACAATCACATCAGTGTTAAGGACATATGAGTGCAGTGATTTCAGTGGAAAAATAAGGTATGTGCTTTATTCTTCCATTAAGGCCAATGGGGCTTAGAACCGTACAGTATCATGCCCTATGTTTTGGCCAGCAGATTTCTACATTCAATTTCTTTTGATCCGTTGCTCATTGTGGTGAATATGATGTGGCAGCAGTGTGACACTTTGCAGTGTGTCAAGTTCCACATCATTATTACAGCCTCTGCCTCATCTATCCAAAGTTCTCAAACTATAAACTTATCTTGACACACACACACCCCTCCTCTTCTTTGTCAAAACTTTTTTTTTTAAAAAATCAAACCTTTATTGGTTTTCAGGTCACAACAGGACAGAAAAGCTGTAGGATTATCCCAGCATGAGACAG